TTTAAAATAATAAAAAAATTAATTTTATGATAATAAAAATTTCCTATAAATATTTTTTTTTAATTATTTTCATTTGATTCTTTTTGAAAAAAAACCACCAATATTATTTTATGAGAAAAATAAAAGGAGAATTCCTCAATATCCTATGAAAGAAAAAGATGTTAGAAAAAGGGGTAAGAAGGCTTCCCTTCCTTTTTCCCATAAGAACGAAAAGAGAACGCTCTTTCCTTCCCCATGTGACCTCCCTTCCCGTTCTGTACTGCAAGCCAAACTGCTCGCTCTGCAGTCAAGAATGCTAGAGAGAGAAACCAGAATCTGTGACAGAGAGAGGTGGAGGAGAGAGAGAGAGACGATCCCAGTCCCCTACTATTCTCTCCACCCTTCTTCGGGTTAAATGCCCGCGAGAGGAAAACAGAATCAGTACTTCTCTTACAAGCCGCAAGACTTTCTACTTTCTGGTTTCAGATTTCTGCCATTTCCTCCTTTGTTTCTATAAAGAAGAAGACGGGGAGAAGGAGGTGAGGAAGAGATGATGGCTGTGGCTGTAAGAATGGCGATCGCGGCGGTGGTGGCTGTGGCGGAAGAGGAGGTGAAGATGGTGGGGTTTAGGAGGCGGCTTGTGAGGAGGATTTATTGGAAGCTGAGGGCGGAGATCCGAAGGAGATCTGAAAAGCGGCAGCGATTCAGCTCTCGATATGATCCTTTCAGTTATGCTCTAAACTTTGATGATGGTGAGCCGTATTTTTAGGGTTTTTGTTCTGTATTAGGGTTCTATCCTGTTTTATCTTCTCTGGTCTTTTGGTTTGTGGTTGATCATCTTGTAAATGGGGTGATGTTTGAAGGATTAGGATTCAGGTTTTCTGTCTGTGAGCTGTTCGCCTGTTCTTACTTCTATGGATTGCTGAAGGGAAAAAAATGGAGGAAAAATGTTTCTGGCTTTGAATCTTTGATTCGTTTTTTCGAAGACAAATGCTTTTGATTTGGATTATTTTATTTGTTTTTTCTCTTCCTGGATTGAAAAGTACAAACCTGTAAGATTTTCTGATGAGCAATTCCGGCTGTCGAATCACATGCAGTGCTGAATCCTTTCGTCGCATTCCGGAAGAGAAACAAATTCTTCAATGAATTGCTTAAAAAAAGGATTTTTTTTTAATATTCTATGCTGAACCGTACCTCGTATAATTTGTTTTTAAAAGAAAATGCCTTTTTCTTCTAGGGTTTCACAAGCATCCGGAAGTTTGGATTAGACCTGGATTGGGAATGGTGATCCATTTGACACGATAGGTTATTGTAGGGCTTTGTACCTGTATCGATAAATCGGGTTGGGTTTCAGTCATTTACTTAATGCAAAAAATTTAGAAATGTTTTAATGGAACAAGTTGGGCCTAATCCCTTCTATGGAGGTGAGCCGGGCTTAAGCAAGAAACTTAATCCACGGCCTGATCTTGTTTCAACTAAACCGGTGCTCTGGTCCAATCTGGGCTCATAATGGGCTGGGCTTGGTTTGTAAGACTGACATTCTATTTAAAAATTGTGGTTTAGTTCACTCTTATTATATTGGATCATAGTGTTATTCTGATCTTATTTTTTTAATCTAATTTGTCTTTTTTTTTTCTGATTTGTAATATCAATTGAGGAATAGTCTTTAAAGCTACTTTGGTGTATTTTTTTGGTGGATTTACATACAAACCACTTTATTTCATGTTATTTATATATCTAACATTTAAAATTTTAATATTACATTCCTATCACATATAAAATTTTAATATCAAATAAATCACTCCAACATTTCATTATTACCACTCATACCATGTTATAAATTTTATTTGGGATAGCTTTATTTTTGTTTTTTAAAATTATTTTTTAGCATAAAAAATTTTTGAACTGAAAATTTTTGTTATGAAAATTTATTTTAGAAGGCAAGAAGAAAGCTGTTGAACTTTAGTCCCACATCTCCAATCTCCAACGTTAGGGAGGCTCTCCATCTCTATAAATATTACTGACACCCACTACGTTATATTACCTCCACCTTAGGTAAGACCTTTTAATTTTTTAAATTTTAAATTTTGGCTCTGTCTCCTCCGCTGTAGAAGAAGCACATCTTTCAAATGGCGCTCTCTCCACTTAGACAATCTCCAACCGAACGTCAAATGAGTGTTTGATGTCGTTCGGTCGCTTCAGCCTAGGGGTGCAAACGAGTCAAGTCGAGCTCAAGTCAGGCACTGTTCGAGTCGAGCTCGACTATCAAATACCGAGCTCGGGCTCGACACGTCTCATATGTCGAGCGGCTCGACGAGCTCAGTCGAGCTCCGCTGCGAACTTCGTCCCACGTAGGCTTACCGAGCTCAGTCGAACTCCGCAATGAACTCCTTCGTCGTCAAGGGCCCTCCATCGCGTCCGGAGCTGATCAAGATTCTCTCTCCTCTCTCCTCTCTCCTATCTCCTATCTCCTATCTCCTATCTCCTATCGCTTCTTTCTTCTCTCATCTCTCCAATGTCTCTCGACTCTTCTTGGTCCCTAACTCCTGAACTGATTCCTCTTCTATCTCTTACAAGGCACTATTAAGAACAAATTTTCCAGCATCCACATCTTCAGTCAAAAGGAAAAAAAAAAGATTTAAAAAATATATATATATATTTCCCCGCTGCAACTACTGAACTTTACCCAGACAAAGATAAGAACAACAACAACATTAAGCCTTTATCCCACTACGTGGGGTCGGCTACATGAATCCTTTTTCTCCATTGTGTCCTATTAAAAGTCAAATTCTCGTTTAAATCTAATAAAGAAAGGTCATTCCTAATATTTTCTAACCAAGTCTTTTTAGGTCTACCCCTACCTTTCTTAACATAAGTCAAATTTAATACCTCTACTCTCCTAACCGGGTCATCGGAAGGCCGCCGTTTTATGTGATCAAACCATCTAAGGCGACTCTCTCTAATCTTATCTTCTACTGGAGCTACTCCAACCTTTTCACGTATATGCTCATTGCGTATCCTATCTCTAAGGGTAAAGCCACTCATCCACCTCAGCATCATCATCTTGGCCACACTTAACTTAGTATTATGCTTCTCTTTATAGTGAATATCCATATATCATAAATATTTTATCTTAAATTTAGCAAATATGTATTTTTTTTCACATTTAATTTATAGTTAAACCATAAAAGTTTTATTTTGTTCTTAGCACAATTTTCATTTTAAAAAAAAAAACTGGCAATCATATAGTTTTATGACCGTTAATATTCAACGGAAATGAAAAATAAGTTTATCGTCTTCAAAAGACATGTTAAATTATTGGAAGCGTATTTGAATACATTGAAATGTAGAATCAAAATTTTTAGCCTTTCACATTTGAAGCAATGTTCTCTAAGAGAGCGAGAAACACTTTTTTTTCACTTAAGATGTGAAAATGAGAACTTAATCGCTTAAAGTGAATTCATTGAAATGCAAAATCAAGTTTTTCGGTGAAAGAGTAGCCTCTCTATCAGTAAGGATCTTCATCAGAGCACCAGTAAGGTCATGACCTGTTAGATCCAAAGGAAGGATAGCATTATAAAAAAAAATTGTTTTAGAAAACAATATAAAAGCTCTGCCAATTAAAAATTCTTCAAATCAAATAGCCTCTTAAAATGTAGAAAAAGACGAATCTGCCCGACCAAGCAAGGCCAATGGCCATATTCCCTTAAGTGAGGTGAGACAGAGATCATAATTATGAGATATTGCTTGTGGAATAAAGATATTCCTTGAGAAAATAAATTTAAAAAATAAAGAAATATATTCTTTATTTGGTTAAAAATAGAATTAAAAAGTAAAAGTAAAATATATAGTACTTTATCTCTATTTTCACTCTTTGGAATACAAACATTGGCTTTTTTTTATAACCAAAAGAAGGTAATATGATAATCCTACTTTCTCTTCATTTGCTATCTTCTATAAAAATATAGGAGCTAATAGACAAAGGAGATAAATATGAGAGTGAAAAACTAGTTTCACTTCTTTCTTTCTCTTTCTTTTTTTTTTTTTTTTTTTTTTTTTTTGTACTTTGAAACTCAAAATAGGAGTGAAATTTCTAATTTGTTGATAGTAATTTTTTATCATATAGTTGATAGATTTTCATCTAGAAATATATTGAGTACAATTTAAATTTCATTTAGGACTAAATTATCCCTATGAACGTTCGAATAAGATAGTTAGTCAAGTATATCTTTTCTAGGCGCAATCGAGTTTGAATCTTGTTTGAACAAGGTTGGAAAGAGGTTTAAATCTAATTTAAACATATTTTTTTTAAAGAGTTTTACGTTGAAAACTTAAATCTAATTTAAACTTAGGTAAACACTTTTAAAACTAAATTCAACCCTTTTTTCATCATTATTAAGTATTGAATTTATTCAAAAATAACCTTTAATAGATTTTTTCCTTAATATTTTTTCACTAGTGATACAATCTTCTTATTTTTTATCAAATATTTTAATTTTTTTTTATAATTAGTTTTTTTTTTTAATTAACCAAAAAGAGTTAAAAGGATTGTGTTTTGATGTATTCAAGTTGCCAGCGAGTTGATACAGGTTGGTGTTCATTAAACGAGTGAGATTTGAGTTGATTAGATTCAAATTAGATCAATTTCAGATCAAACATAAACCCAACCCATCATGACACCCCTAGTGAAGAATGACCAGCTAGTGTTTCTAGATGTGAGTTTGATTTCATTTTACTCGATTAGATGTCACGAGCTAACCTGATCAAGCCGATTCGTCAAAATTTAGTTGAATTTGGATTGATTGAATGGATTTGAGTTTGATTAGGTCTAATTTATTTAAATTGCGCTCAACAAGTGATGTGAACCTCATTTCAAAAACGAGGTCAACACTTACAAAAACGAGGTCAACGAAAGTAATAATTCAATGAAAGCTTTTATTCACTTTTACCATTAATATTATTATGCATCTCATTTCCATGCAAAACATGCTATAAAAATCACAAAATCATAAGTTCCAACATACGATAGTAAAGAAAATCCCCTGTTCTTATTAGTTATTACAGTGTAAGAAAATTTAATTCATTACTGCAAATGCTTACTATTACTGAGAAAAATATTTACATATCTACAGCACTGTTCCATCTAACCTTGCCTGTAGATTCTCTATTACAGATCTAAAAGAGATGAAATCTCTAAGAGAACAAAATAAAGTTAAATCCTATATGGCCCATCTCTCCTAAAAACAAAAGAGACGCTAAATCTTTTCCAACGATCCAAATCAATCTGCGCCAATGAAAGAGAAGGGCTTCACAAGCTCAAATTAAAAAGCTTTCTCAGTTCTCTCATGGCACTTAGAAACCCAAAATAGATATAAGCCCTCAACCCAAAACACTAACTTCCACAGCAAAAGCGAATTTATATCATAAATAGATATTTAAGATCTTCCACTGTGAGACGAGCAGCATGGCTACCAGCATTGTCCTCTCCAAATGCAGAGGAAACCATCTTTCTCTTTTCCTCCTGCAAAATCATGATGAAAATTCAGTTATTCTTATAAATTGGGTTGAAACTTGTTTCTCAGTTGATATCGGTCATGATGTATAGAATATAACAAATTAGTCACAAATGGTGCACAAACAATATCAAAAACATGTTCAAAATTGCTCAAATATATAGCTCCCGTTTAAGAAGAAGAAGGGATTGACAGCTATTTGCAATCAGATTCGGTATAATACAGTGAAGAAGTGCTATCGAAACATTCGTGTTCATTACAGTTTTAATTATCAGAGGTAGGGTCATCCTCCTGTAAAATGTGATCTAAATTACACATGAATAGCCGAAAGTAGGGGTCAACTTTTGACGCAACCCGAAAATCCAATTCGAGCCGGACCCGAATTTTTTGGGTTAGGGTCAACCCATTTTAAGAATGGGTCGGTTTTGGGTCACAATTTTCGACCCATTTCAAATTCTGGATAGGGTTTGGGTCAGCTGAAAACCCAATTCTGACTGGAAACGGAAAAGGGTGAGCTTTTGGGAGAACTCTCGTCTTTTTGTCTCTCAGCATTGATTGCTTATTTTTTTACAAAGTCTAAATCCGAAACTCTCGTCTTTCTCTACGAAATCCTGAAGAAGCATCGGGATAACGCGGTGAGACAGTGACGAGATCTAAATTTTTTTGTTTGGCTGAATTTTGATCAAATTCTTCTTAGAAATTGCTATACCCAATAGCTCGATGATGGTGATTCACTGATTTGTTGCCTCTCTCTCTCTCTCTCTCCCTTCGTCTTTATGTGCTGCAATGCTGCTCTGAAGTCTAAACATCTTCAATAGATGTGAGGAAGTTTATTGATCTGATTGATTTGCCTAATTACCTCTAAATGCATAATATTATAATTATTCTCTCCCACTGTTTGCGTCTTTAATCTAATTTGATATACCCCAGTAGTCGCTCGCTCTTACCGCGAAGCTTCTTCGCCTTCATTCTTTCCCTTTGTAATGTCCGAAAACCTCATCTTCTTCCCCAAATCTAACAGCAATCAGGTTGTGTCGGGTTGACTCGGACTCGAAGCAGGTCGGGTCGGATCCAAAAACTGACCGGTTTGCAAAAACGGGCCTGGTTCGGGTCGGGTCTAATAATATCGAGCCAGATTCAGTTTGGACCCGAACCAGACCAGTGACCCGATTTTGACAGCCCTAGTCAAAAGGTTGACAATGTGGATGTGAACGTGCTGTATGAAAGGGATGACTTCTGTATATGGAAACATAATTATACTTTAGAATGGATGACCTATTTTTCTTGCATTTCTTATCTTAAGCTTGTCCACTGTGAGACGAGCAGCATGGCTACCAGCATTGTCCTCACCAAATGCAGAGGAAACCATCTTTCTCTTTTCCTCCTGCAATAAAAGGTTTGAGAAATCTTTTCATCGATATATATATATATATATATATATATGATTTTCTAAGTCATGATGAAAATTCAATTATTCTCATTAATTGGGTTGAAACTTGTTCCTCAGTTGATATTGGTCATGATGTCTAGAATATAACAAATTAGTCCAAAATGGTTCACAAACAATATCAAGCATGTTCAAAATTGCTCAGATATATGATTAATTATTATGTACGGACGCTGAATGTCATTTAGAGACCAATCAGAACGCGCAACTTCACCCTGTGCTCGGTACTGCGGCTCAACACTGCTCGGTGCCACTCAGTATCGCTGACGTGATGCATTTTGATGGTCTCCGGATGGCGTTATGCATTCGGTCTCCGCACAGAATAATTTCTTTAAATATACCGCTCCAGTTTAAGAAGATGAAGGGATTGCCATCTATTTGCAATCAAAATTCGGTATAATACAGTGAAGGAACATTCATGTTCATTCCAGTTTTAATTATCAGAGTTAGGGTTATCCTCCTGCAAAATGTGATCTAAATTACCCATGATAGTACCCAAGTAGTTTTTTGCATAGTCAAAAGGTTGATAATGTGGATATGAACGTGCTGGATGAAAGGAAACATTTATATTTTAGAAATGGATGACCTATTTTTCTTGCGTTTCTCGTCTTTATCTTAGGCTTCGTTTGGGACGGCCTTCTTACTTCTTCTTAAAGCAGCATTTTAGTACAATATTTGAAAATTTTATACTATAAAGATACTTTAAGAAGCGGTAAATAAGCCGTACCAAACGAAGCCTTAAGCTTGGCACCCCCTACACAAGCTTTCATAAAATTCTTATTCAATGGTATCAGAGCATACAATTAATGGACAAAGAATTACCTGAAGAGCTAAAATGCGATCCTCAACTGTATCTTTAATGGTTAAGCGAGTAACAGTCACAGGCCGAGTCTGCCCAATTCTATGTGCTCGATCAATGGCTTGATCTTCGGTAGTCGGATTCCACCAAAGATCAAGAAGAATAACATGGCAAGCAGCAACCATATTCAAGCCAAGATTACCTGCTTTAAGCGACATGAGCATAACGGTCACCTGAAAATGCACCAAAAATGGCCACATTACATTACAAGAGAGGCAGAAATATTTTAAAGTCGCATAGAAATGCAGAAATAGTTCAACTAAAATAGCGAACATAAAACCTCTGGATCGTTGTTGAACTCCCTCACAGCTTTATCTCTTGCATTAAGGGACATTGTTCCATCTAACCTTCTGTACTGAATAAGAGACTGATTTAATGAAAGCTCAACTAGATCCAGCATTCCTGTCCACTGAGAAAAAACAATAGCTTTCACTGGTTTAACAGAGTTCCAATCATCTTCACACTCTTGATTTTGGTGGGTAAGATAGAATTCATTAGAAAGGGAACTCAAGATATCGACGGTGGCCTTGATTTTGGAAGAAACATAACTGCCATGCACAATGGAGGATTCCTCACTGTGTGATGAGGAACTTGAGGCAGCATTACTATCAAACTCATCACAAATAGTAGTTTTCAAAGTAGCTTGAGAGAAAACTAAATCGGTGCCAAGAGTTTCTTTGCAACCAGCTGCAGGGCACAAATTATCGTCGCCGGTTAAACGGTCAGATACACATTGGTAGCAGAAAACATGACTGCACATTGTTACAACAGGATCCTCAGGTGTGTCCTGAAAAGGTTTAGATATAATAGCAGGATTAAGAGAAGTAAGGTCAATATAATTAGGAGATGCTGAGTTGCTTCAACAAACCAGTAAATTTAGGTCTGAGAAATGAAACTGAACAGCATCAGCTTTTTTGTGAATGTATTAATGAAATTAGAAACGCTTGAGCTATGTGAATCTCATGCCTCCATAAAAGTAAAGAGAGCAAGGAATTGCAAGAAGCAAAGATGAGCAAATATATGATAGAAAACACTTGTAGATCTCGAGTATTTCTTATCAATCTTTGGAAAACAGCGAGCTTTCTCCACAAAAATCCACACAAAACCACGAAAACAGTAGATAATTTTGTATTATTTGATGAAAGGGAAACGGAAAATAGCAAGATACAATTGATCCTTTATTTGAGAGGAGTATCGATCTCTCCCAAATCTCTAGACAGCCGCTAGAGCCCAAAGGAAAATCTAAATCTAGGAGATCTCAAATTTCAGCCAAATTCAAAATGCCATAACCCTAGGAAAACAAACTATTTAATGCATACAATTAAAAAGGAAATCTCTAAACAGTCCCTATATTCAATTTCCCTCCTAAACTTCCTAAAAAATCCTTTTCTAAAATGCCTCACGCACGCCATGCATGCATTCGGCGCATACAGGAGGCAGAGCACTCTCGCTGATGTTCGCGTAGGCCGGTCCAATCGGTCCGACTGGATCGGTCCAATGGACCAGTCTAACAATATCTTAGCACTTATAATAAAGCTTCTATGGATCTTTATATTCATGGTGAAAAATTAACACTTTTGTCAGTCAATTGACCGATTCAATTTGCAATAACCAAAACTTTAACATAGGCTTTATCTTGGAAACACCAACGAATTTAATAACCAAGGTTATAGGTTTAGCCTTGATTAAACATTGATACGAGCAAAACAAAAAAAGATTGTTGGTACCACAGTATAGGTAGCACCAACAACATTTTGTGATGTATCAACAACTTTATCATATTAATAAGAATTCCTTAAGATTACATGACAAACATCCAATCGAACTACATTATACATTAAGACATCAATAATGTCCATTAAATGGCAAATACAATGAATTCTTTAATAAGCTTAAACTCATCTTTCACTACAAGCAACTGATAGTAATGAAGGAATGTTTATGAGGTTTATGTGATAAGAATATCAGGACATGGAAAGTTTATTAGAGGCGTGGCCGTCGATCTACCACCACGATTGCACCACTCTACTTTTGATTTTCATATTTATTATTGATGTATTAGTTTTATTTATGAAGTTTTATTATGTTTTTGTTTTTGTTTTTCATTTTTGCCCTTACTTAAGGGCTTAAGTATGTGTAAGCCCTATGGGCATAGTAGTACTTTGTATTTTCTCATTGTATGGGCTATTTAAAGTCTCCATCTTCTTCTTTGAGGGTTAATGAATGTATGAGATTTCAGTTTTTTCTGTTTTCTTGTGGAGCTTGAGAGTCCTTGGAGAGGAAGCCTAGGAGAGGCCAAACATAGTACCCAATAACCATCTTCAGGTGAGTTCTTGGTTCCTTAATCTATCCCTTTCTTTTCCCCTCTTGCACCCGCCGCCCCAAGCCCTTCTCCCTTCCACCCGACGGCCACCCATCCCCACCGCCGGCCCACCATTCCACCGTCGGCCAAACAATCCACCGCCACCCTTATACTTAAACCGGCCACCTCCTCCCTAGCCCACCCAACCTCTGACCGCCAACATCCTCTCTCAAATCCCTCTAAAATTCCCCAATTTCCTTATTTAGTCAACCCCCATTTTGGAAAGATTTCGAATTTAGATTCAATTGAATTTAAATTTCAAATTTCTTCCTATTTAATAAATCTATTTTTGGAATGAGCCCACAATCAAATAAATTAATCAAATCTTGATTAATTGATTCATTAATGCTCAAGGTCCAAATACATTGAACCTAGACATTTTCTCCCCTTCTCTCTCCTGGCCGAAATCTCCCCTAGCCCCTCCTAATTAATTTCCTGCCATGCTTGGGCCCATTAATGCTCCACAAACCAATCAATCAAAGCACAGTTACGTCCCCCCATCCAAGCTGGAATTAATCTCAGGTTTTAAACTTAATTCCCTCCCCTCCCAACCACATTTGAATTGATGCTCCTCAATCCAAGTTTTCAATCTGCTCTCCCAACATCTGCGCCCCTCTCCCCCTCCCATACTCGGGGAATTTCAACAAAGAAGAGCAGTTCTCCTGCACCCGTGGCTGTCACAACTTACTGTCCAGAAGCCTCCTGCTTTCACAGTAGTTGTCCACGACTTTTTCTAAGCCTTATAGGTTGTTATCCAGAGTTTTTCCAAGTGCCAAAACTGCTATCCAGAGATTCCAACTGCCCACCTTGATGTCCAAATGTTTGGAGAAGTTTCCATTCGCTGCCTGAGGTTTTCTGGACATAGAAGTGTGTTGTCCAAAGGTTCCTACAGCCACGAACTGTTGCCTAAGCTTGCAGGAAGGTTTAATCATGGCAAAGGTGAACTCTTTCCTTCTTTCATACCTTCCCCGTTGACCCTTACTTGTGGTTTTGATTTATTCATGTAAATCTTGCAACGCTCCGCTAAAGCCTAGTGTTTAGTAGAATTGTGTGAGAGATCTTTCATAGCACCGCTCTTATTGTTAGATTAAGGATTTCTTGTTGAAACTCATCTCGTATGCAACGTCAAGAGTAATTGATTGTTATGTGATTTTTACTTTTCGCGAGTAACTTGGCCTAAGCTTGTGTTTACTGCTCTGTGTTTTATTTCATTGTTTAACTCACCATAAATCTTTAATTAACTTGCTCTTAATCATCAAGCGTGCAAAATCCTTATCTAAATCATAATTTCATATATGTTTGCTTTTGGTGAAATTGAAGAAGAAATGTTTGTGAGCAGGGGAGATGTTTTTGTTTTGGTACATAAGAAGGGAAAGAGAGTTGTGTGCTGTGATCAACGAGAGAGAAAGTCTTGAGACTGATTAGTAGCTTCGAGTGAAGATCGAGAAAATCTATAATTTCTTAGGGGTTGTTTGGTTGGAGGAAAAGTGAATGCAAAATATTTATTATGCTTTGTTTTTCCACTTTTTGGTGTTTGGTTGGAGGAAAAGTGAATGCAAAACATTTATTCTGCTTTGTTTTTTTCACTTTTTGGTGTTTGGTTGGGATGCAAATGCAGTGTATTTCATTCTAGTTCAATTTTGAGATAAAGTGTTCTACTGCAATAACGCTTTACACCACTTGCTCCAAGCTTGAGAACCGCTTTCGGCGACCTCCACTGTCACCGACCGCCACCGCCGCCAGTGCGTGAGTGGGTAGTCGTCTGGGAAGATCGTGTGTATTCGGGTGGTTTGTTTTATATATATATTTTTTAACTTTTTCAACACATTTCTCACAAGTTTAGTACCTCTATAATTATCATAATCTTAAACATCTATACTCTTAAATATTAGTAATAGAATATTTCATCTCCACTTTGTATCCTCTTATTCTTCAAATTTTCATTGAAACAATTTATTAACCAAAGCATCATAGCATCCCCCATATATGATTAAATCTAAATAGTCGTCTCAGATGGACTTGAAGATTATAATTATGCATCTTCCAATAATTACACTTTAATTTTATGAATCAAACCATAATATACGTCATATTTTTTAAAATATATGTTTCATTATTCTCTTCCATAGCTTCATCATATATCTCATAAGTTCAATGCCTCTATAATTATCATAATCTTAAACATTCATATTATTAAATATTAGTAACCGAATATTTTATCGCCGATCATTTTTTATCCTCTTAGTCTTCAAATTTTCATTGAAAAAGTTTATTAACCAACACATTTTAGTATCCCCCATATATGAAATCTGAATAGTCATCTCAGATGGACTTAAAGATTACTATTATGCATCTTCCAAGTAATGAGACTTTAATTTTTTGAATCAAACCACAATTTACTTCATATTTTTGTTTATTATGCTCATTCAAAATAATATATTTCTAAAAAAATAGTATTTAATAATTTATAAAGAATAATATTTTCATCTTTCCTTGAGGTCTTTATATTTACTTAAGAATATATAATCTCTTTATCTTTTGATTGAAGTCAATAAATCTCTTTATCTTTTGATTTAGTTATTTTATGCCCATCATTTTGTCTTTCCTAGTACCAAGCTCCATTTATCATCAAAAATTGCTATTCCTACTTTGATTAATACACTATTTGCAAGATTGATATTTTATAACCATTAAGCCTAAGTTGGATGTAATTTCAGCTACCCTCTAAAAGTACAAAAACACTTTTTCTTTGTAGCTCCTCATTCCACCACCAAGTCTCATTACATGCTTAATATGTTTATAGATCCTAAACTAATTTGCATTTCTTAGAAAGAAATTTGCTACAACATTAAAGTATATTATTATATCCATTTCACATTGGAAACTAATTGTTGCACCTAGCCTGCCCATCTAGATGGATGCCAGTTGGTAAAATCTTTTGAAAGTTATTGTCCAAGTCTTGGAATTGAATCCCACCAATACCAATAAAGAATATATATATATATATACACACACACACACACACATAGAGAGAGAGAGAGAGAGAGAGAGAGATGGCTTACACTGCATACAGGGCAAATTGCTAATGATGCTTCCAATTGATATAGCAAATGTAATAACATTTCTTTGGGAAGCTGCCTTGCCATTAATATAGAATCTCTTGAAATAGCTTCCGAATAATATCCTTTGACCAGGATTGGATGGCCACAAGCCTGACGGAGTCGCAAAAGCATCAACAAAATATTTGCATAATTTTGTTTGACGGTGCCAGCAGCAGCATAGGCCTGAAATCCGGAACCTGCTGCTTAGTAAATTTCTCAGATTGCTAAATAACAAGTTGACCGTCAAGAAGCAAATACATAAGAACCTAAAATTATGAAGTATGAAATGCTGATCAATCTCAAAATTTCGAACAGAAATTATATAAAGTTTTATGGGGCATAACAACAAGAAAAAAAAAGTCCTAACTTCTACAAGGGTAATCTAGTAACAATATGAGAAAAAATCAATTTTGAATAAAGCATTTATTAATTTTCATAACAAATAATCATTATAAGTAACCAGATTACCTGTCCGGTGATTTCTAACTTCTAAGCTTTGGAAAAGAACATTAATTTGGTTTCATAAAAAATATATAACAGCTCACTTTACACAAATTGAATAGTTTAATTTGGTTTCCTAACTTCTACAAGGGTAATCTAGAAACAATATGAGAAATGCAGCAAAGATCTCTTTAATCAAGAGAACAACTGAGATGAGAGTTCAAGGGTATAGATCCAATCAATAAGAAGGCTTATCTAAGCAAATTATGCTCATCATAAGTACCTTGAATTGCTGCCGTGAATCCGCTTCCAGCTTCAAGTAGAATGCTCGCTCCTCGGTAGAGAAATCAACCTCCTTTAAGCATATTGATTTTGGAGGTAACTTAATAATCGCCTCCCCATTAATTCGGGTTTCTACACAACAGGAGACAATGGTTCATAAATACAGGTGTAGATAATAGTAGACAAAGCCATAATTATACATTAAGATTATGTCAAAAGGGACAAACAAAGGGATTCCTAGTGCATGATAATGACTTTCAGGGACGAAGCAATCAACAAATATAACTAGAAAAAGTGATCCTTTATTTAAGTAGCTAGCAAACCTCATAAGCATGTATAAGGAAAAAAAAAATTGATTCCTGGTGATAAGGTCAAAGAGGAGCAAAACAAAGCCAATTTAACCACGCTGATTAGGCAGGCTCTCAGAAGCATCCAGAGTATGACCCAGCAAACCTAATGTACATCTACTCCGACCAAGTGCTGAAAATTAAAAAACTTAAGGTATGAGATCTTTTTCCTTGCCCCCAATTCCGCAGTTTGTACATGTTGAAATATGTCATTTCTTAACAGCCCAATCTCAAACCATCACTATTGTTACGTACTGGAATATTCGCGGCGGTAGAGAAATATATAGTTTAACGTCTTAGCATTGTACGAAGATCCAGCACATAATCAGATAAGTGAGAGTGTAGTGTTCATAAGAGACACTAGAGTTTTTATGTGGAAAACCCCTGAAAAGGGGGAAAAACCACGGGGCCTGGCCCAGTTTGAATGAATCCACTAGTATTTGTAGTCGATTACAAATGAGGCCTTCTTAGGGAGAAGGCCTTGGCTTGATGTCACAAATATACATCATATAGAGTGTATTACATGGTGGGAGTTACAATAGATGTATTTCCTTTGGTGAAGGTGAGGGCCTCAGGTGTTGATGAGGGCCTCTGGCAAAGGTGAGGGCCTTTGGAGAAGGTGAGGGCCTCAGGTGTTGGTGAGGGCCTTTGGCGAAGGTGATGGCCTCTGGCGAAGGTGAGGGCCTCAGGTGGTGGTCCGACGAGGCTCCGGCGGTGGTCCGGCGAAGTTACGACGGTGGTCCGACGAAGTTTGATGGCCTCGTGTGGTTGTCCGGCGAGGCTCCGACGGTGGTCCGACGATGCTCCTGCGGTGGTCCGGCAAGGCTCCGGCGATGATACGGCGAGGCTCCTGCGGTGGTCCGGCGAGGTTCCGGCGGTGGTCGAGGAGTTTTTTCCTTCTCTTCCTTCTCTTCTTGCTTGGACCCCCTCTCATGAGAAATGAGGGGTCTATTTATAGATTTTCTGGAGTGGCATGGCCCGTAAATAGGCGTGAGATCAGGGGCAAATAGGGAGTGGTCGAATGGACGGCCGATATTGAATCCTACGATCGTGCACCGTTCGTTGGACATTTGAATACCTTAGTGATGTCGGAATTCAGTGATCTTGGGCTCTTTGGATTCATCTCGTCGAGCCGCTCGATTTGAGTATAAGCTCGTTAAAATCGGAGACCATTTGGTAACTCAAATTGTGATATGAAGCTTCCAACAGCGCTTCAGGTCCTTGATTTGGGCTCATTTGGGCTCGGATTGAGTCGAATTTGGTGTTGTTGAGTTCGTATTTCCGAGACGCTCAATTTGACTGTAAGCTCGTTGAAATCAAAGTTCAAGTGCTCCCGGATTTAATTTTTGAAGTTCCCAACTTGATTTTTGCCTCGAGATTCGTGCCTGTTCAAGAGATTTTTTGACGACGTATCAACTATAATTTTTTAGGTGCACTATTTAGGCCTTCTCCAACCGAACTCCAAACGTATAAATGTCGTCGCTCGCGAGCTCCAGCCGAACGGAAAAAACTTCTTGTATTTGGTTGCGAGTGAATAATGTGACGCCAATATTGACGTCGCACTGTTCACCTGTGTTATTTTTCTATCTCTACCGGATTTACCGAAGAAACGCGCGAAAGATGAGAAAGACGGTTACCTTCTACGAATGGCGCAAAATGGAGTTCGATTGGAGATGAATCACACAATTTTTTAGTTTCACTGCATTTTGGAGTGAAAAAAGATATTTTAGGTTAGAGATGCCCTTACACTGCTTAATCATAGTTGGTCAGATCCCAGGATATCCACGAAACCAATTAAAAGAGTACTTTTACTTTTACAGTGTACTCAATCTCGTTCCAACATTAAGGTTTCATTAGGTAATGGAAGTTGAAGGTTGGGAGGTTATGAGAACTATCATGAAGGATCACGCCCCCCGATTTGCTAAAGTTTCTAGAACCTCAATAGCCAATGATACAATCCACAAACCAAAAGTTCCAATAGACATGTTGAAATGATGATTTTCTATGTTGACAGAGGAAGAAATTTTGGACTTGGACTTCACAGAGCTCAGGTAATTCTACTGCAAAATATAACTCTGACACTAGACTAACAGAGAATCAAAAACAAACAGAAAATGAGCAAAGAGAAAAGTACCTTTCGTGCGTCGAAGCAAAACAATTCTCAAAACGGCCTGAAGTTTTTTGTATCCTTGGATTGCATTTCTTGATATTGGGTATTTTATTGAGTTACAGAAGGAGCTATAGACAGCATAAGGCTCATACTTTAGGAATCTGAAGTAACTGTATAAATCATCAATTGAATTCTGCATTGGTGTCCCAGATAAGCACCACCTTCTTTTAGCCCGAAGTCCAGAACAAGCTCTAGCTACTTGAGTTCTGTGATTCTTAATCGTTTGAGCTTCATCCAGTATCACCCTGAACCACCGAACTCTAGCAAGGGAGCCACTACCACAATCAAGTTGGGAGTCTCTATGTCCTTTACCTTTTTTCTTTCCCTTCCTTCCCGCATTGGATGTCTGCTTCCTTTTCTTGCTGGAAGCAAATTCTGAAGAAATCCCATACTTCTCCATATTTTTTTGCTCAATTTCATCATCATCGTCATCAACCAAATGTAGCCTTGGAACTTCATTAGATACAATGGAATATGTTGTAAGAACAATATCATATTTTGCCAATTCTCGAGGATCTTTAGTCCGTGTTCCTCCATGATAAACTAGAAAAGAGAGCTCCGCACTGCTTGAGACCTTTTCCTCTAGCTCATGAGCCCATTGTCTTAAAATACTAGCTGGACATACAACCAAAGTTCCAGCAGCAGGTCGGCGATTCTGGGAAGTACTAGCCACCTGCTTCCTTCGAAGATCATCCTTTCCAATGTCTTTCACATCCACCTCATTGTTACCATCATCATCGTCTAAATTTAAGGCCTCGAGAATAATGGGTGGAGAAGAATCTGCCGTGAATTTGGACTGGAGACTCTGCTGCTTTAGTATGAGGGCTATCATTGATATCGTCTTACCAAGACCCTATGATGATACAAAAAGAGAAAAACTAAGATCAAATTAATAACCATAGAAACATCTAATTTGCCAAAAGAAATATCCACAAAAATAATGACCTGATCATCAGCAAGTATTCCACCAGCACAATGCACGCTCTTTTCCTTCTGAACCATCCAAGCCAAGGCTATTTTCTGCAGCACATAAAGTGACACAAGACATCTTAAAGATTAGAGTTTACCAGCGCAAACTTAAGATGAATTGCACAGAATAAATAAACAAACATCAAATTTTGCATTTCATCGAGTCATAGTTTTAACAAAGTTTAGTCTCTTTTGATACAAATTAAAAAATACATTAGAAACGGTCCAAATAATAAACAAACATCTAAATTTTGAATCTTGCAAGACCTCTAATAACGAAATAAATCCATGCAACTGATTGTAACTAATTGATCAAATTCCAATCACATGCAAAATCAATCAAAAAGTATGTAGATAAAAAGAACAATGTTAGAAGTCACCAAAAAAGATCTAGGCCTCCCACCAGTACAACGAAAAATCCACATACAATATCACAAATACAAATTTGAGAAAATCTTAACTTTTAGCATAAAATCAAATGATCTATCTTTAAAGGTTTTATTTATAATAAAAAAAAGACTCATGATTGGTATACGAGGTTATATAAAAAATTTATTGTAAGTAAATCATAAAAATATGTTGTACCTATATGTTTTTTTATTAAAGAAAATTATCCCAAATAGATTAAAGATCAGTTAATGAATTGCTTCTAATTGTGACCAAATAGATAGAATTCTAAACTTCAGGTTTTTTAAAGCTGCCGTTGTCAACAAATTGCCTAAAAAATTCAATGCAACTCAAAACTCCAAATTGATTATTGATCATGTTGAAAAAGATGGTACTTCCATCATTTTAGTTTTTCATTAAAAAAAATTATAACACAAAGGTGCAATAATCGTGTTGCAGAGATGAGGATGCTTAGATGGATGAGTGGCTTTACTCTTAGAGAGCATATACGTGAAAAGGTTGGAGTAGCTCCAATGGAAGATAAGATCAGAGAGAGCCACCTTATAGTTTGGTCGCATAAAACGGCGGTCTTTTGAATTTTGATGACCCGGTTAGGAAAGTAGATGTATTAGATTTGACTTATGTTAAGAAGAGAAGAGGTAGACCTAAACAGACTTGGTTATAAAATATTAGAAATTACATTTCTTTATTAGATTTAAATGAGAATTTAACTTTTAACATGGCACAATGGAGAAAAAGGATTCATGTAGCCGACCCCACATAGTGGGATAAAGGCTTGATGTTGTTGTTGTACAAAGGTGCAATAATCGATAAAAGCCACCAAACCCTAGAGATGTTAAGCATAGAAGATGATCCTCAAGTGACTAACCATGAGAGAAAAAAGTTATAATAATTCTTATATCAATCATTAGAAAGTTGTCACATTTGTATTTTGTTAGTTCACTGTTAGTTCACTAACATCATAATGAAACCTTCCGATATTTCTTTCTTTGAATAATGAAGGAAACATGGTTTTGAAAATAATAAATAATGGGTGACAATGGTGAAGGTGTTGAAGCCAAATTTTCTTTTTATTGGACTTAAGAATTTATGAGAGAAGGCATAATTCTAAATATTGTATCGAGTTTTTTTTAAATTATTGGATTCCTCGAGATAGTAGAGCATTTTTTTCTTTAGCAAGCCCGATCATCTTTCGTATGCCCTATTCCTGAAATACACAATATGAATAATAACACATTGCATTTGGAATCTTTAATTAACTTTTGATTGGATATCATATATTGATATATAGTTTATGTACATGGAGAACATTTGGAGTGTGAAGCATTTATTTCTAAGAATATCTCCTTGATTGGCTATGGTTATTTTCTTGTTACTAGGATAATAGATGTATAAAATAGATTTATAAGAGGAATTTTTAGATGATTTGGAGCTCTATAATCAATGATCCAAAAGTTAAAAATGGGCATCTCAGATATTTTCAAGACATGAGAATAGGAGGTAATATCTGAGAATGCTTGAATATAATTACCCAATGTAGATGTCCTTTCAAGTGCTTCTAGCAAGCATTTTTATCTGTTAATGCCTTGTAAAAAGTCGTACTTTTTTCTTGAATGAATGTCCTGTAACTCTCCAATTAGATTTAAATTGCATCTCCCAATTCCAATAGAACCCAAAACTAAAGGTATGTCAGTAATATTATTGTTGTTCATAGAGAGAGAAAATATGGTTATGTTCGCATTTAAAAAAAAAAATAGAAAATGGAAAAAATACGACAATGTAGCGATAAAGGTTACAATAATGGGACTATATTGCAGCAATGTAGCAATAAAGGCCATAACAATGTAAAATGTTTTAATAACGCAGCGGGTACTATAGTTACAAAAAATAGAGGGGAAAAAGAAATAGAATTGCAATAATGAAAGCTTGCAGGTTCTATACAGCAAATCAATGAAGGCTTCGACTTGTAGAAATGCTAAGAAAAAAGTCTAAGGCTCCTATACCACGATAAGAATTTAAGAGAATCAGTTAAGTATTTCATTCCCACATATGTATGATATTTTTACAATCATAGGTGAGTTGCTAATAGAACACATAAAAAATAGAAAATACTAATTATAGAAAAATAACAAATAAACCTAATACTGATGTGTTGGCATAATAATTACAATAATCCACAGATTGATGAGTAAGCAATAGGTATACTATGGATTAATGAGGTGGCAGCTGAAGAGGAAGAAGAGAGGACGGGAGTGTTGACGAGTGCGGGAGTCTTGGCAGAAGTTATGCAGGCATTTTACACAAATTACATAGGCAGTTGTTCACAAAAGTTTTTCCAAAGAAAATACAAAATTTTACCATCGCCAGCTTTCTTACCTGATGCTTTAAAAGAGAAACAGTCAAAAGCCCCTCAGGTAGATCTTCTTCTAGTTTTGGCTGACCAAGATTCTGTGTAAAACACAGAGAAGTGGACCCAATTAATCTCACTTGCAATCAATAAAAGCTCAAACCAAATAAACACCATTTAGCTTTATGAAACCAAAAGATTACAAAAATAAGCATGGATGTAAATAAAATGAGAAAGCAAAATAGTGAAAGATCCCCTTAAAGAAGTACCTGCAAAGCCTCTTGATATATTTGTGTTTCATCATGCCCAAGACGGTGCTCACCAGAGCCTGGAAAATTTGCACCATCTGGACCAACCAATCTGGCATTACCACTGGATTTTCCAGGATATTGAGGCAAAATCCTAGTTGCAGGTGCATTTTCATGTAAAAACACATCGTCTGCCCACAAAAACAATAAGTGATTCTCTTTTTTATTAACGACAATTACTCATCCATGGAAATTATTATTTATTTATACAGAGGGTGAAAATTCCCCGAGATACACTGCATTACCTCTACCATTATATAAGCCTTTTGATGAAGTAATTAATTTATCATTTCTGCTGGACGGGTCTGAGAATTTATGTGCATTATCAACTTTGCCTGCTAACACAGGATGGGAAGGCCTTGTGCTAAAATTTGGATGTTGATCAGTACGCTTGTTATGCATCGAAGCATTCATCTGACTACTGTTAGCATTTTTACCAGTCCAATGAGAAGGCAAAGCTCTCCTTTCCCTTTCATGGATATGGTTTTTGTCTATCATTTTATGGCTATCTTCCACATATATGGAACCAGGCAGTTTTGATTCACCAGAAATATGAGCTGTTTCAAGTCTATCATTTCTATAAGCACCATCATCTCGACCTGCTCGAGACCACCTATTCTTTTCAGCTTCCACAGGATTTTTCTGTGAAGTAAACAAAGCTTTTCCACGGAATCCCGTGCTTGGTTCGGATACAAATCCCGATGTTGGTAGTTGCAAAGAGGATGGAAGGATACGCTTTGAGGTCTGCAAAACTCTACCATCAGTGCTCTGACCAACAACGACTGAACCAGACTCGATGGTTGCCGGGGCCTTCAAGTGATTTTGCATTTCTCTTTGAGGAACATGAATAACCTCTTCATTTGACACATGGCTTGCATCAAATCTCCCATTGCTCGAGCTGCTTCTGTATGGACTTTGGTGTGTCAACCCTGCTTGATCCTTTAAAAGACTGTTTTCAGCTGAACCATTTTTTCTAACAGCACTCCCTGGAAGTTCGCCAGAGGTGCCTACCCAAGGTCTGCTCCTCATAGAAGCATGCGGAGCAGAACCATTACCGTGATGCTGAGGCAGTTGTACTCCCATATGATGATTTTGGTCTACGAAACTTCCAGGATGGTTTCTGGACTGAGCAGTTGCAACATCAGAAGACCCGTCGAATTCAAAGTCAATATCACCATCACTATCTGAAGAACCAATGTCAATGATTTCTGTTTGCATGGGTAATGAATGACTAGAAGACTTCTCCATTACATTAGAAAAAGGTTTGAAGACCTGTGAACAGAACTGGCTGCGGAAAGAAAGAACATATAAAGTTCAGTCATTCATCCACATCGATAACTTCCAAAATACAAGAGGTAGAATGTAATCTTCAGAAGCAAACAAACTTGAGTTAGATTAGCTGAATCGCAGAATTTCTGTCAGCATATTCATCACCTTACAAATGCACACTTCCCCCAATAGATCATAGGAAACTGAAAAAATGTATTTGCGCCATCGGGCATCTATAGGAATCATAAGACTGCAAAGTGCGTTTCATAGACAGGAAACAGATGAAAGTGGCAGGTTTTTTATTGATCGAATAGAGATCATGGTCAAGAGGAAGTTTGAATGTTCAAATAACCAATTAATACCTAAAAAGAAACTGAAAGAAGCTAAGGAAAACATATTATGTGTCCGTAATATTGAAATAACTATTGATAAAGGAATACAATCTCATAAGAAAGCAAACTCATTGCCATCCTGTGCCATTTACGTCCATCAACTGAAAAGTACTTGCAGTGAAACCTAAGACAAGTACTTTGCTATCAGTAGAAACAGAAAAGCTTGACGCTTCCCTGCTCTTAACTAAAAAGTAGGCTGATATGAGATGAGACCATGAAGGAGTAAGTTAAGTGCCATAGATATTAGTGGTAACAAAAGTTACGATCAATACCAGGGCATTTTAACAAAAATGAAGAACTCAATGCTACACATGATCAAATATCACTTTAAGAATGAGATCCTTATGAATTATTTACTTTGTTATTATGAAATGGAAATTGTTATCACATATAAATTATCACATGACCTACATTATTTATAATAAAAACTGCATATTTAATATTGCAATTATTAGAAATAAGATAGAGTTATAAAGGACAAAATCTTTTCTAAATTATCTGATTAGTAGAAGCATATATGAACTTAGGCAAAAGAAGTGAGCAATCAAGGAAAATATAATACATGAGAAAACAAATAATGAAAAAATTACAACAATAAATACTATAGATTCCTATATAAATAACTATCACATGTGATAGTTTAGATATGTTAACTTTGCCCCACAAACTAAAAGTTCATGGAAGATGTAAGGTTGAGTTTGTAAATACTAAAAACCAGATTTAAAGTAGTCAGATATCTTATTTCCTAGAAATTACGAGTATTGCAAGTGAAGCATGATTAATCTGTGCTAGAAGAGTACCATGAATCAAACGCAAAGAGTCCGAAATGAAATCCATATCAAAGAAAGCATAGATAAAATTCTTAAACAGAGGTATCAAGACATTGGGTTGGAAGAGGTATGACTAGAGAACGCCGATGAATAGTGTATTGATGGTGTTTATGAAGAGGTCGGCATAATGAGGATAAAAACTACTAGCATGCTTATCGTTAAAGAATGGAGGAGATTGTAGAGATGTACATGTCTACTTGAAATAAAGAATGACAAGTGAAATGGATCGTATCGCTCCGTTCACCTTCACTCAGCTATAGCTTCAAGAAGTCCGTACAAGATTTGGTTGTAGCGAAACTAACAAGAATCAAACGCAAAGAGTCCGAAATGAAATCCATATCAAAGAAAGCATAGATAAAATTCTTAAACAGAGGTATCAAGACATTGGGTTGGAAGAGGTATGACTAGAGAACGCCGATGAATAGTGTATTGATGGTGTTTATGAAGAGGTCGGCATAATGAGGATAAAAACTACTAGCATGCTTATCGTTAAAGAATGGAGGAGATTGTAGAGATGTACATGTCTACTTGAAATAAATAATGACAAGTGAAATGGATCTCATCAGAAGATGCTATGAGAGACATGCCCATATATATGCTTGTACAATAAATATAATTGAGTAACAATGTAATCTTTTATAACAACTTTTTATTGTTCAAGTTTCTTGCCAATATATGCCCATTTATATGTTTTTACTAGAATACAATTGAGTGTTGTGTAATCTTTTGCAATTTCATCCCCTTTCAACCATGGCATCATTAGAGTTATGTCTTAGAATCCTTTCAATATTATTTACACGCCTCATTGATGTTGCACTCCTCAATCTTTCAATATCCAATGGCTTTCTCACGCACTTTCCGTCTTTATTGACCCGTTTGTACTTGATGAGCTTCTCCCTTCTTGACATACTCATCTGTAACATCAATCACTAGGGCATTTGGCATCCTTCTCTACAACTTGCAAATTTGTCAACCTCTACAATCTATCTCTATTCTCTAGCGACAACTACATAGTAGTCTTTTTTCCTCACCATAAAGCTCTCTATCAATAATCCTAATTGACATTGTTTGTGGATACTTCCATCAACACCACCTATCGCCATTTCTATTTAAGAAAATTATTTGCGCCTCCTCAGCCACGGATCATGTTGACGATTGTTTGCTCCACATTCACACAATCTCTCTTCCCAATACTAGTGGCTATCTTCTTGTGACACTTTCTTTGTTACTAAATTGAAGTTAGCATAGTCTATGTTGTCTTGAGTTTATAGGGAAGTGTTATCATATCTTGTCACATAACCTAAATTATTTATAATAGGAATCTATGTTATTTATTATTATTCTACTTTTCATTATTCAGAATTTTTTTCCTTTATCTTCTTTACTATTCTCTTACTTGCATGTATATATGCCTGTTATATAAAGACAATTAAGTAGAGATGTAGTTTTCTTACAAATCTCTCACCATTGAAATAGAAGAGATAAAGGACTCCTTGCTAGAGGTCGAGGGTTTATGGGAAAATGTGATCCAAAATAGCAACATGGAACTAGACTGACTTATCAGGTCTAAAAACCAAGCATAAAGAAATGATGTCAGGCAGGCCATATTCTCAAACTGAAACAAGTCTATAACCATTATTCTAAAAAAAACAAAAGGTTTTTTTTTGCTGGATTGAACTTAAACAAGTGAATATACTGCCACAAATGATCTCAGTCTTCATGATTAGGCTAAAAGTACGAAATTAATATCAGATAAAGGGAACATATTGAATTGAATATCATCTTAAATTGACTTTGGCAAAATTATGTTGTCAATGATTGGAAACGCAAAGCATCCAATTAATTATGACTATATTTCAATGGATTGGAAACCTTTCATTACAACCTGGCCATTAAGAAAATCAACATTAATTATCTGGAGTGCTGAAATTAAAAAGAAATGGGGTGTAAATTCTCAAGTAGATGCAGGAAACTCCTTTAAATTTTGAAATCCCTTTGAGTCTAGTTAGTTAAACCATGTAAATGTATTCAAATGTTCAAGTCTCTTTGGATCAACTTTCAGATTTTATTAATCAAGCAAAATATTTGCATGGCCAAACCTTCCATCAGGTTTATCAGTAAGGCTAGAAGAGTTCCTAAGACCAAGGCCAGTCTAAATCCAACACACTTGTTAAATTCCTAAACAGCAATCTACATCTATCTCCATATATTTAGAAAAAATCAGCAATGAGGACACGAAACAAAAAATAGACATTTAGCTTCATTTTCTTTGTAGCGCTTCTTTTTAAAGAAAAGCCATGCATTAATGAGATCCCAATCTAATTTCCACTTGTATACAAAAGTAAAATGGCCAGATAGGGAAAGGCTTGGCAACATACCCTCAGGCAGCGATGATCCATGCAATTAATTCACCCTTCATATTTCTCACCAACATTATCAACAACTTTTAATAACTGTCAGGTGTTAATCTCTCATACGACGTCTTCAACAGAAAATGTAGCAATTGCACTCCTTTAGAAGCAACTTCTTTTTCTTTATTCTTGTCCCCAGTTTCAATTTCTTCTAGAGCAATGTGAGAAAGAATTTACCGACTTCATTTAAGCTAACCATCGTCCTACATTTTCGATAAGCTTCCAGACATCTGACATTTTAACCCAATAAGATGCAAAACCTGAAAAAATTTAACTATTTTGGTCAGATAAATAAGTCTAGTATTTTCAACACACGGAACAATTATGCTCTTCAAATGCTTGATCCTACCTTAACATACCCGTTTCAGGTTAAAAGAGCAGAAAATCCTTCATCAGCGATCTGCGCGACGTATCCGCTAAAGAAAAGGAAAACCCTAGAAAGCGTCTCCTCGCCACTCAGAGCCTCGTTCTTCGCAGCTGATGGGAAGGACAGTCGTAGCATTACTAACAAAGACGACAAGGATAAATAAAATGGGAGGAAAAGCAAGAAAATAACGGATTTGGCTCGCCTGGAAGAAGGAACAGTAAATGCATTCACCTATTGAAGAACTTATCAAGATTAAAACTCACTAGGTTAAGGAATCGACCACCGAGAATAGCAATTTGAAAGGCCGAGTATTTAGTTTCTGCTACCATCCGCAAATTCCTTTGGAAGCCCTGATAACCTGCTGCGAATGATGGAACCGAATTCATATGCACGATTGCACGATGAACGGGAAAGTCGGAGGAGAGAGACTCAGGTCCGGTCGGAATCGACCGACGAGATTCTTCTGACCCGACTGTTCGGGCTTAATGAAACTTTAAGACCTATTTTACCCATAATTTTTTTAACTCTGTTTAGTTGTTTTTATAACGCATTATTGAAGCATGTGTATCTAATTTTTAAACAAATTAAATCCCTCATATGACAACCTTATATATAATATTAGTGAATATTAGTATTTATTGTAAAATTTGATTTTATAATACCTCATAATAGTCATAATAGTATAATTGAGCAAATGTGCTCATTATTTTATTATTTGCAAAAATATGTCTGAAATTACATTTTGCACCGCATTACTCATGTTATATGAAAATATGATTCAAATAGTGGTTCAATCATCATGTGTACTTTTTGAACAAGAATTTGCTCGATCATTCAACTTTTTCCTGCATGCATGTTTGAATATTGCTCAAAACTTAACAAAATTTCAGGCAATATGAGTAGGGTTAGAACGAAGCTTGAACATGATTTGAGTAAGGTTTGAAAAACATTTGAGCACTATTCAAATAAGTATTGACAAAGTTAGAATAAGCTCTGATTATATTTTGAATAAAGTTTGAACGTAAGATTCAAATAATATTTGAACACGAAATTAAGCAAGGTTCAAACAAGATTCAAATAATATTCAAATAAGGTTCGACCATTATTCTAATTTGGATCTTTCTTTTTTTCCTCATTATATTATAGCAAATGGATTCACTTGAGTTATTTTACTATATGTATAGGTATCCACTCTAATTGTATATGTATAAAGATGTTAAACAATTTAGGTAACTTGTAGAGCTGTTGTGTGGTGGACAAAGTTGTTAGATTGTTTCTAGGCAAATGATCTTATTAGCAAAGCTGAGATATACCACTTTAATAAATTCCTTAGATTACCTAAACTGCAATTATGTGGCTATAATTCATAAAATGTTGTTGAATATGAGAACAGGAAGAGAATGTCACAACTGACCCATGCCACCGTAGAAGTCATACCGGGCCTGATTATGAAAATAAGTAGAAAGTGAAATATCCAAATCATGTATTATATAGAGTTGTTGCTCAATATAGATGTGTTGCGGGCTAGAATATACATGGCGATAGACATTTAATTTTATGTCTTAGTGTTGCACGGATATCCAGCTCACACACAGAGAACACAATATTTTTTACGTGGAAAATCCTTGAAAGGGAAAAAATCATGGGGTCTGGCCCGATTGAAAAGATTTCACAAGAACTTGAGTTGGTTACAATGGACTGACTCGCCTCTGAGGGCGATTAGATTACAAATAACAATAATAAAATAGAAGTTTGGGTGTTAGATGATAGACCGACAGAACTTCGGGCTTCAGGTGGTGGTCTGGTAGAGTTCAGGGTTTTAGGTGATGATCCGACGAATGCGAGGGTTTCTGGTGGAGGTCCGACGAAAGAGTGGACCTTAGGTGGTGATCTGGCGAAGGTGAGGGCCTCCGGCGGTGGTCTGGAAAAGGTGAGGGCCTCAAGTGGTGGTTCGGTGAAGGCGAGGGCCTCAAGTGGTGGTCCGGTGAAGCACAGGAAGTTAGGTGGTGGTCCGGCGAAGCACAGGGCGTCAGGTGGTGGTCCGGCGGAGCACAGGGCGTTAGGTGGTAGTCCGGCGGAAGTCCGGCTGTAGTGGACCAGTGGTGGTTCGACGGAACTCCGGCGATGGTTCAGCGGAACTCCGGTGGTGGTCTGGCAAAACTCCGGCGGTTGTCAAGGAGGCAAGGAGTCAAGAGCGATCTCCGATCTCTCTCTTTTTTCCTTAGGCTTAGGGGTCCCTTTTCAAGAGGAGAGGGAGCTCTATTTATAAATTTTGGGAATGGCATGGCTCGTAAATAGGTGGAGGATCAAGGGTAAGTTTGGAGTGGTTGGATGGACGGCCGATGTTGAATCCTTTGATCATGAACCATTTGATGAAAATTTGAATGTCATAGTGATGTTGGAATTCAGTGATCTTGGGCTCGTTGGATTCATCTCGTCGAGCCGCTCGATTCGATTATAAGCATGTTATGTTTGGAAACCGTTTGGTAATCCAAATTGTGGTTTTAACCTTCCAACAACGCTTCGGGTCATTGATTTGGACCCATTGGGCTCGGATTGGATCAAATTTGGTGTCGTTGGGTTTGTATTTCCTAGATGCTCAGTTCGACTATAAGTTATCTGAAATCGGAGTTCAGATGCTCCTAATTTTAATTTCAAAAATTTCCAATTTGATTTTGCTTTGAGATTCGTGCCTGATCAAGATAAATTTTTAACGATGTATCAAGATGTAAAGCGGAAGACTACTAAATCTTATAAATGATATTCTATATATTATAAAAAAATATGCATACAACCTAATGTATACCTACAACGGCATTTGGCAACAGGAAAGTACAACAAAATAAAAGTAAATCCTCTCAGAAGGAAACTAATTAGTATGTATACTTACAGCATAGATCATAGCTTGATATTACAAACTACTTAGCTCATTACATACCCTTTTTTTTTTTTTTTTTTTCCTGAAAATTAAAATAAAAGTAGGAGTGAGCTAACACAATTTAATATGCTATGACTTATGAGAGCCTACAACATGAATAAATAACTAAAACCAAAAGAGCTAAAAAAATTTTGAAATTATAAATTGAAACTGAAACATACACTGACACTGAATTTAAATAAGCATTTAAATAAACTATTAGAGTTGCGTTAAAAATGGTTGAATATAAACAAACATCTCATAGCAAATATCAGAAAGGGCCGAAAGGCCCTCCGCCCCTAACTTCAAATACATAACAAATAATAGAATCTTTTTTTATACCAAACGAAATCCATTCTTAGTAAATATTGTAATAGCCTTCATGCTCCAAAATTTCCAACACATATAACAAATAACATAATATCTATTGTCCGTTAATAGAATCCCTTTTTTTCTGACAATTCAAAATTTCAAATATTTTGAACACATATCAAAAATAAAGTGCATTCTACACTACTGAAGCTATTACGATGTTATTATATAATTCTACAAAAATGCTCTAATGACTGTCAAAATAATTTATCAACCGATGTTTTATAGTTTGCCAAAAGGCCCAAAACTATAATTTTAGTATTCTATCATATTACCAACTTTATGTATGACAATATTTTGAAGCTTTTGACTCTAAAGTACTATTTTATATGCAAAGATAAAATTTAGTATCGATAAAAATCATTATTTTTCAAAATCATGCGACGAAAAATCTCAAATAAATACTCAAGATAACCAAAATAGTCATACATATACCATATCAAAAGTCACATGGATGAAGTTCACCAGAATCCAATAAAACAACATTGTTTAAACCATAATATAATTTTAATCAAAAAAATCTCAAACATTTGAAATTATTGAAAACTAAGATAGGCAAATAGTAACATACCTCAACCCAAGAAACTTTTCAAACTGGGTCGAAAGTTCACACTGCCATAGTACCACCCTAGTGCTACCATGTGAATTAATTTCTAATTTTTCCAACAACAATGGTGGCAAAGTGTTGCCAACTCCAATGTCACGGCACCCCATGAGAAAATTTCATACTTTTAAATATACAAACAAACCCCTAGGACCCACAACAAAATATATGCAGACTCACAAACACACTAAACCTTTCCAAACAAATACAGAGGGGTTTCAAAAAAACAAGTTTTGTGAGTTACCTCAACTTAGGTACAATCACGACAAGTAGATCTATATACTGACTTTAGTGGTGGCACAAAGAATGAGGGATATTCCATTGTGTTTTGTATTATATGTAACAACACAACATTTTGAATTGCTAAATTTGATATGTTTACTTATTGGAGTTTCAAGTTTTTTTATTTGAGGGGGAATTTAAGAATGATAAATCATCAAAAAATTATATTGATCGTGCACGGATCTTGATGCAAGATTAGGTTGGCAACTTTTGAAATTAAAATAGGAATAATCTTAACTTCGATTTCAACAAACTTACAGTCAAACTAAACGTCTAAAAAATACAAACCAACGACTCTAAATTTGACTCAATCCGAGCCCAATGGGTCAAAATCAAGAACTCGAAGCATTGTTGGAAAGCTCAAACCACAAATTTGGATTACCAAACTGTTTTTCAAACATGACATGCTTATAGTCCAATTGAGCAGCTCGACGAGACAAATCCAAAGAGCCAAAGATCATGGAATTCCAACATCATTAAGACAACAAATGTATAATGAATAATCCACAATAAAGGGATTCAACATCTGCCGTCCATCCAAATCACTCCTCATTTACTCTTGATCTTCCTCCTATTTACAGGCTATTCCACTTTAGAAAATCTATAAATAGGCCACTCCTTTCTCTTAAAAAGGGAAATCCCCACCCCAAGTAAGAGAGATATCGGAGATCGCTCTTGCCCCTTAGCCCCTCCTCGACCACTACCATGAGTTTCGTCGGACCACCATCTGACGCCCAGAATTATGCTAAACCACCACATGAGGCACATACTTTTGTTGAACCAACACCTGAGACCAGAACTTCTACCGGACCACCACCTGAGATCCGAACCTCTGCCGGACCACCACATGAGGCCCGGACCTCTGTCGGACCACCACTTGAGGCTCGAACTTCTATCGAACCACCACCTGAGGCCTGGACTTATGTCGGACCACTACCTAAGTCTCGCACTTTTACCGAACCATCACGTGAGGCTCAGACTTCTACTGAACTACCACCTGAGGCCCGGACTTCTAACATACCACCACCTAACGCCCAGAGTTATGTCAGACCACCACCTGACGCACGAAATTCTGTCGGACGACCACCCAATGCCGGAGTTCGATCAGACCACTGCCTGACATTGCAGTTCTGCCAAACCACCGTGATGTTACAAACTGATGCTCAAATTTTTAAGTAATGTCAGACTTTCGCCAGACCACCAAGTAACACCAGACTTCTATCCATGTTTGTCACTAAATTTCAACTATATGGTTGACATTTGTAATTTGATCACCCTTAGGGCTAAGTTAGCCAGTTGTAATCTGCCTAAACACTAGTGGAA